AGTAGTGGTTCCCAGTGGATGTCACCACTGTAGGGACTTCTGTCCACCGTGACCGGTCTGAAGGTGAACTGTTGCCCTGCTCAAGGGAGGGGAGCTCTGCTGCTGGAAGGTGAGAGTTCTCACAACTTGATAGAGGAAAGAATGTTCCAGAAGCAGTATCCCTTTATCCTTAGTCTCTTCTCATTCAGACCCCTATCCCATAAGTGTAGGAGTGTTCAGCAATGGTGGGTAAACTTGGGTTAATAGTTGCAAGTTCAGAGAATACTCGTCTGGATGGGGAGAGATGCTCCTGGGATCTGAGGACCTCATGAGCCATTACCTACCTCCTCCAGACTCCTCCCAGACAGTGATCGCCTGGATTATTGAGTTGAAGATGGTCAGGAATATTGTAGAATATTCTTTAACTAGGAAAGATGTGTTACATTTGCTTATGCTGCATCTGTTTAACAATGTAAGGATGTGTGTTTAATTATGTAAAGATGTGTTACATTTGTTTTGCCTTTCCTGCCTAAGGCACCTGATTGGTCTAATAAAGAACTGAATGGCCAATAGATAGACAGAAAAAGGATCAATGGGGCTGGTGAACAGAGAGAATAAGGAGGAAGAGAAATCTTGGAGAGAGGGAGAGAGAGACAGGAGGGGGAGGAAGAGAGGTGAGGAAGGGAGGAGAGGAGGATGGAAGGAGAGGAGAGGGGAGGGGAGGGAAGCGGAGGGGAGGGGAGGGGAGGAGATAAGAGGAGAGATAGGGACATGTCTGGGGCCAGCAGCTTCTAGCCAGCCAAGCACTGGAGGAAGCAGTGAAGTAAGACATATGGAAAGAAAGGTTAAAAAAAAATAAAGGTCTTGGACAAAAGGTAAATAAAGAGAAACAGGCAAGTTTAAGAGAACTTGCTGGAAATGAGCATAAGCTGTGCCAAGCATAGCTAACAAGTTTCCATGATTTGGGAGCTGTTTGGTAGCCCAAAATGAAAAAGTCTGCTACCCAGGAGTTTTCTTAGTTGAGGCTTAGATATCAGCATGTTTTTAGCATACCGTAAGGTGGGCCTGGGGACCCAGACCCAAGACTGCATTCAATTTCAAGCATGGTGAAAGGGAGCGTGTGAAAACCAGAAAATAGAGGCTGCAAACTGGACAGTGAGGAGAAAAAGTGAGAGAGAGGTCGGGGAGAGGGGGATGAAGCGAAGATGTATGCTCTGATCCCATGACTCCTTGGGAGGACGTAGATTCTGATGACGTCCAATGTGGTAGCCCCAGGATGAAGGGGTGACAGCATCAATATAGCGTTTGATGCAAAATCTCACAGAGCATGTGTGGTCCATGACACCAACTGTATTGGGCAGGAGAGCAAGGGGAAAGAGGGATTAACTGATACACACTGGCCTCACCACCAAAAATTTATCATTAACAGCATCCCAAATTCCCTTCAGGCCCCTGAATTGCAGAAAGCCCCTAAGACAGCTGAGGTGAGAGTTTGCCACTTTGTTCGGGTCTAACAGCGAGGCCCAGAAGCCCAGGCTGAGGTCTGTAGGGATTCCAGAAGTTGTGTTAGTTGGGAGTGGACCCTGATTAGCTTGACCATGCGATGACCACTCCATCAGCAGATGATGACCACAGTAGGGGCATCCCAGAGGAGGTTAGTAGGGTGAGCAGGTCTGACAGTGGAGGGGAGGGAATCATGGACTCCCTTTCTCATCCCTTCTAAATAACAACTGGGTGAAGCTTGTGAAAGTTAGGCAAATCCTGAAACTAGCTGGGGCTGCTGCCTGGGAGTGACAGCGTGGGTGGTTACAAAGGGGGCTGCTTGGCTCAGAATCAGCTGAAATGCTTACACTGGACAGACCTTTCACCTTCTGACCCAGGGAGGGCAGGCTTCACAAAAATCTCAAAGTATTTATGGGGACACAAAGAAGTCTGAGTGGCCGACCCGTGATCCACTGTGAGACTGAGAAGCCCAGTTACCAAGGGAAGTTTTTCCAGAAGGTTCCGTTGTACAGAGCGCATGTGGGGACCCTGGCTTCTGGTCTTCGGGGCTTACCCTATGATGCCACTCCTTGGAGTTGTGCATCACACTAATTTCCCCAAGTAAATAAGCATTTTAAAATCATCAAGTCTAGATTCCATATCTGCCCATTAATCACTTTAAAATTAGCTTATTTTAATTATCTTTGATCCCTATCTCTCAGTAACTATTACTTAATTGAAATTTATATCCCACCTATTTCCAAAATGGCTGGAAGTGCCATTATAATTTGGCTCTGTTTTAGATAGAACAATCAGAGTACTGTCATTAATCTGCTAACCCTTCCTGGGAACAGGAGGGGGTGTCAATCAACCAGTTAGTGAAAAACAGAGATTTCCAGATAGCTAAGAGGAAAAAAGGGGGTTTAGAGACTTGGACAATTTCCTGTGTATTGTGATATAAATAAAGAAGTAATAACAGAAGTAAAGTAATATTGTGGTTATCATACAGTCTGGTACGAGACCCCTTCACAAAGGTCTTTACTGAGAATTTATGATCCTAACCAATGACCAGAAGAACAGAAACAATTGCAATAAGCATCCTTTAAGAAGTCAACAGAAATACCAGACATCCCCAGGGTTTATTCATTTAGAAGCAGCCAGGTGAAAGGCAGGGTGGGGCAAGAACCCCGGCCTCGGGCTTGGGTTTCCATCTTCTGTGCTGAGTCTCTCTGGAGACCGCTCAGCTTTTCTACACACCCAGGGGGTCATCTTCCTCTAAAGAAATCTTGGTTCCTGGCTAAGTACAGAAATGACTTTACAAATTCCATCTTAGAGTTCATCCTGTTGCATTCCACACAAACACAGGCTGGTAGACCCCAGCGGTATGGACACAGTGCATCCAGGGAAAAAATACATTTGGACAGTCTAACCCAAAGGAAGGGCTCTGATGGGTGGTATGTGAGTCACTGGGCTAACTCACTCTTTTAGACACAGTCACTCCCCAGTGTCTAACACCCCACTCTATGGTCATTTACCCCTAAGTTGTCCTGTAATACTAAGGAAGTACGAAGAGCCGGCCGCTGTTTTAATGCAACATGCCAATGTGGTGACATTTTGTAAATCTTTCATCTGAAATAAGCATAATTGTAGCACATAGTTACAAAGTTGCAAAAGTAAATACTACCTCGGGATTTCTTCTCAATGTATGGAAGGTGGTGGAGCACTCACCGTACAGGAAGCACCTGCAAACAGTGCCCAAGGAGCGGCCTCAGCGCGCTACTGAAACCTGGCATTAAGTGGGTTGCGCCACTGTTAGGCACCTCACAGCCTAATGCCGAGTTTCTGTATTTCATTTCAGATACTTCAGTCATTAGCATCCTTACTCATTTTCTTTCTTTTTTTATCTATCAATTTTTTTTCCAGATAAGCCCTCCACTTGTTGGCTCCTGGAAAGAATTCATTTAGAAGTAAGAGTCTCAGTGGGGAGACAGGCCTTTTACCATGTGTTACTTAGTAGCCTGTAATGCAATAACAACTGTCTAGGTTTAGATGGTCTTTTTATGCCTCTAGCCTGCTGAGCATGAAAATGTCTTCAGCGTTCCCCAGTAACAGTGTAAACACTGTGTGTCTAGGGTGCAGTAACCGTATCTGGCCATTTGGAGCTAATTTAACCAAAGCAGTAGGCCACAGCAACCTTCTGATCATTGGCCCAGGCACCACCTGTATCAAATGTGAGAGAGTTGAGTGAACAGTCCCTCAGGTAGCCAGTGGACACGTGCTGGAGAGGGTGGATTCTGTCCTTTTAGGATACTGGGACTAGGTTTTCTTTAACTGGCTCTCTACAAAAACTTAAATACTATAAATCTGTGTGTTCAAATACTCTTTTGGTAGAAACCCAGTGTTGAGATGTCTTTACCCCCATTTGTGTAAAAGATAAGAGATGATGTGATAATCCTAAATACTAGTTATCCATGGCAATGTGTTTGTAAAAACACATTCTCATGAAATACGTTCCTTAAGCCTCCCAACTCCTAAAACATTGCTTGACAGTGATGTCTTATTGTTTAAGAATAAAGCCTGAATCAAGGCACTTAACACTCAGCTACTTGTGTTAAGAGAGGACAAAAAGTAGGGGTTAATGAGAATTCCCCCCCACACACAGAGTGACTTCAGGCAAGGAAGCAGATGTGAGAAAGAGTGTGAAGTAAGCACACAAACAAAGGCTCAGATGTGGGTCTAGAGGCAGGGATGAAATGGGGCTGATGACGGGAACTGAGCCTTCGCCTCTGCTCTGCATTCTGGGGGGCCTGAATCTAGAGGTACGAAGCATTAGAACTGGAGCAGACAATTGCAAGCAGGAGCAGGCGATGGGAGAAGGGAACACCTGAGCAAGAGGTAGAAGCTGGAGTCTAGCTCAGCAGTGCTCCAAGTGGCTGGGGTTTAGCATCCATCTGTGAGAGAATCCAGACTGTGGCCAGGTTCCATTTGGAAGGGAAGCGCCTAATTCTTTAGGTCTGAGGGGATGCAAAGGCAGCCTATGTTTTGATATTTAGTATGCTGGTAAAAGCGCCACATCCATCCATTCATCTATCCATCTGTCCATTCATCCATCCATCTTTCTGTCCGTCTGTCCATCTGTCCGTCTATCTCCCCATCCATCCATCTGTCCATCCATTCATCCACTCACTGTGTGTTTTGTAAATTATGATCACAGGGACATGGCATTGGACAGAGGAAACAAAACCCTTCTACCCCTGCTGAATTTACAATCTAATGGGGAAGGACATTGAAACTGAAATAAGACTTCTGTGTGCACACAGTCGACTTGGCATACTGCTAATAACGTGTCTCTCTCCTAAGAGAAATATCTTAAAGTAAACAGCACTTATTAACAAACAGAAAAACTCAGCACACTCTCAAAATACAGTTTAACTTGTATTATCTTTAGTTTTTACATTGGGTATAGAAGAGTTTTCTTCTTGATTTAAAAAGGTGGGTTAAATGTATTCATTTACTTAGCAGAGTATAATAAAAACATATTATAATAAACAAACCAGTTTATTACTTCAAACATAAATTAGCCAAAGCTTAGAGATTTTTACATGATTTTTCCAGAGATGCACAGTTGATATCACAGGCAGAACAAAATCCAGTACTTTAAGAAAGTTATTACCTGAGCACTGATGGGCTATTATCAGACAGTATGAAATAACAGTAGTGGTATGTTTGATTTATTTTCAAATTCAAAAATAAAGCCATGAATCAAACAGTGGGTAGTGGTTTAAAACCATAACCTATGTTATCTGAATGGAACGAGAAATGGAATTGGACAGAAATACCCTTGAACAATGTCATAGCTGCACTTGTCACAGAGAGAATTTCTTGTTTCTCTTCAAATACTGTCCTTTAATCTTAGAGAATGTCTAGATTGCTCCCTAATGGCTTTAAAGCCATTCACGTCTAAGAACCAATGTGAAGGGTGTGTCCTCTACCACCCCTTGCCAAAGCTCAGGTCCTGGTTCTCAGCAGGAGGCAGCACTGGGCTCCTAAGTGTCCACACTTTTAGATGAGTTACTTTGCTCATCACTGTGACAAAATAACCAATAGAAGCAGCTTAAGAGGAGAGGGTTGGTGTTGGCTCCCAGTTCAAAGGCAGAGTCTATCATGGCTGGTGGGCCCTGGTCACACTGCATCCAGTCGGGAAGCAGAGAGATGAATGGTGATGATCACTTCAACTCCAGGTCTCTGCTTTATTCTTCCCACAACCCCAGCTCAGGAAATGATACTGCCCCCTTCGATGAACTCATCTAGAAACGCTTTTTCAGTCATGCAGTTTTGTCTCCCAGGAGATTCTGGATCCTGGCAAACTGACAACCAATATTAACAGTCATAGAACCCTAACTTCGTTGGCGAGTTAACTCATTAGTCCCTTTATCTCCACCCCAACTCCTTCATCTCCCTCTCTCCACTTCCACCCACCCCACCTCCACCCACCTCCCACTTCCACCCTCTCACCTCCACCTTCATCCACCCCCACCTCCACCCACCTCCCACTTCCACCCTCCCACCTCCACCCACCGCCCACCTCCATTCACCCCCCACTTCCACTCATCTGTCATCAAGTGAGTTGTTTCACCTGTTCTTGGTATTTGACCATGCACAGAGCTAAGTGTCCATGAGCTGTGATCACTGAAGCCACGCCTCCAAATCCATCTTCCCCTTAAGATGTCTCAGCTATTTTTCGCCTCATAACAAAGAAAATAGTCTGTTTAAATAAAAATGTAAATGTTAGCTGAGCATACAAAACATGTTTCGCGGTGATAATTAATCTGTTGGCAGGCCATCCATTCTTTATTATATATATTTTAGAGGTGTATTTGCCAAAGAGAAACATACATGAGCAGGCAGGGAAGAGCTGTGCTCATCTTACCTGTATCCCTGGGTCGGTTGGCAGGTGTCCACCTCTGCCCTCGGTGAGGCTTACTGACCTGTCTTTTATTTAGTCAATGAGGATACTGTGGACATTGGGAGGAGTATGACAGCACCCTTGTTGACTGAGCTAATCCAACTGAATCTGAACTAGGAACTAAGAGAAGGGTTACTTAAGTAAAACTCGCTGTGTACAAACCTGTCACGCAGTGTGATAACTTAGTTCTCAGTCAATGAGGTGGGGTGCACGGTGCGTGAAGTCTGATCAGGGGGTAAGGGTGGAGTCCGTGCGGACAGGACCTTGTCTTCAGCCTGGCAACCCAGAGCTTCCACGTGCAGGAATACACGTGTTGGACACAGCCTGCTAGAGAACTGCTTTCTCATTTGCGGAACCAGCAGCAACATGAAAATGCAAGGCGCCTCTTTGAAAATAATTAGGAATTCAAGGTGATGCTAACAGAGCCTTGCACCAAGAACAGGAGTCGGAGGACCCCAGAGAGCCTGGCTGCTGCTCCTCCCTAGCAAGATAGAAGGCTGCCCTCTAGTGTTGCAGGGACGGCGAAGTTTTCAATCCTGCTTTCTTTTCCCCCAGGTCCTCTTAGAGCCTCCATCGTTGATTTCCTTGTGCGCTTGGTCACAAATTGATGCAGGGTACATTTATGGGCAAGCTCCCTTGCTCCTCACGCCTGGCTACTGTGCAGCAGTCTTGATACCTGATGGCGTGGGAATGAGCTAGAGGACTCCTCGGGGTCCCTTTAGTGTCACAAGCCTATATTTCATGTCTTGGCTTTCTACTCAAGGTTATTTTTCATTTTGTTTCGTGCTGCTTAGGGGTTATTTTTCCTCTGCTTTTTGTCTCCCTTACAAAATAAAACCCGTCGTGAACTTTGAAAAGATTCTTGGTTCCATGTATCCCCAAACACGGATAGAATAATAATCATTTTTTGATAGTTCACTTTTTTTTAGCATTGCATATAAAACACTGACAGAGGCTCTCATAAACAAGTGAGCACCCCAAACAAAACAAAAACAATGAACCCTGACGAAATCGCGGAGGAGGCTGACGCAGCCTCGGTTTTTATGGGGCACCCTTTCTAAGGCCTTGGTCTGTGTCGACTCCACTGAAGTTGAGAGGAGAAAAGAGGAGGAATGCTGGCTTTTATTTCTGGTTTTTCTGCACAGCTCTGTCTTTCTAGAGATGCTGCAAACCCCTCCAAGGGTCTCAGAATGGCAAGACTTTTTTTTTTTTCCTCCTCTGGGCATTCAGTGCAAGCCTGGTAGGTGCAAAAAAACTTGTTCAACTAAATGGTTTTTTTTTTTTTTTGGTTTTTTGAGACAGAATGTAGGTAACTAAACATTTCCTAAAGGCCCACGCAGAACCTTTCCAATTAAAATTTGCCTTTATTTTATTTTTACAAAATATTTTGAGATTATTTTAACAAAATCTCCTGAGCATATATGTCCTGGACAGTGGATATTAAGATGCCTTTTGCTGCTAGAGAAGAGAAAGGATCTAAGCATTTGCTGTTCCCTCATAAGTCTTACAGCCCCCCACCCCCTATCCTTAGATCCCAGATTATCTTTTCTTCCTCCTTGTGTGGGTGAAGGAGGATGCTTCTTACTGCTCGCGCTGAGGAAGTGTGAGCTGCAGAGGAGATGAGGAGCAGCGTGTTGCTAGCAGGGAGGACTGGAAATGCACAGTTCTGCACAACCCAGACAATCCTGCACTGGGATGGTTTGCGGCGTCTCCATGTAGAATCTGCACAGACCACTCGGCAGTGTTTCCTGCAAGGGGATGGGCCCTGGTTATTGGGTTCTAGGCATTGGTGCTATTCGCTGCTGTAGCTTGCTTTCAGAATCTCTAAACACCTGTAAAACCTGAGAATACAGTGTGCATGCTTCCTGGTTCAAAAGAAAAGGCCCAATCAGTCAGAGGGTTTGGGCCTGCAGGAGAGGCTGAGGCTGGGTCATGGGTGAGCTTTTGTTTAGCAGATCAGGGAGGCTCTGCAAACAAGTCTGCTTCCACTGTTAGGGCTCCCTTAGAGGCAGTGAAAACGAACTACCAGGGGAGAGAGGAGAGGTCTTCTTTGGCCACTGCTTCCTCCTTTTCTCTTCAGGACACCAGTGACAGAAAAAGCACAGGACTGAGTGAGGAGGATGGCAGGAAGTCCTTCCCAGGACTCCATGTCCTGGACTTAACTCTACTGTCTCATTTACCCCATCCTTGCTCTCTGCAGAGGTTCCTACAGCTGTGTCTTCACCCTCTGCATCCAGCTGTCATGGACTGTTGTCAAAAATAAAATCGCTGCGAATCCCTGCGTCTGAGTGTCCACGCAGTGCCCATGTCCAGCGCTGGCGAGTCTCCTAATTCAGCTCCCCTGCCCATGCTGGTTTGCAGCTCATGTTGGCAGGCCACAGCCAGAGGAGATGCAGGGGTCTCAGGCAATATAGTCCTGGGGCTGACCACCTACTGAGACAGGGGAATGTCTGGCTATTGATGCATTTTTGTGTTTTGGAATCCTTAGAAAGTGGCTTGGGGGAAATGGGTTATGAGCATCTTTGAATCGAAGGAACCCTCTAGAAGCAGTCCTTCAAAGAGCAGTGATTAGATCTTGCATCAAGAAACTAGAGAGACCTCTCTTGGGTATATTCCCAAGAGTGGTATTGCTGGGTCCAGGGGTAAGTTGATCCCGAATTTCCTGAGAAACCGCCATACTGCTTTCCAAAGTGGTTGCACAAGTTTGCATTCCCACCAGCAATGGATGAGTGTACCCCTTTCTCCACAACCTCTCCAACAAAGGCTATCATTGGACTACTGAGAACTCAAGAACAATGGCAATGGGTTTCGGATCCTACTGCACGCACTGGCTTTGCGGGAGCCTAGGCAGTTTGGATGCTCAACTTACTAGACCTGGATGGAGTGGGGGTTCCTTGGACTTCCCACAGGACAGGGAACCCTGATTGCTTTTCGGGCTGGGGGGGACTTAATTGGGGGAGGGAGAGGGAAATGGGAGGCGGTGGCGGGGAAGAGACAGAAATCTTTAATAAGTAAATAAATTTAAAAAAAACTTAAAAAAAAAAGAAACTAGAGAGAGCAACAGTTGTGGGAAGTCGCAGGCACAAGGAGGCCGACAACATGGCTTCCCCAGATGCCTGCAGAGCCTGCCCACAGATCTAACTGGGTTTCCCGTGCCTCGGGCATATGGCCCCACAAAGTAGCAAGAGGCATGGAGTGACTGAATTCCAGGCCAAGCTTGCCTATACTGAGGCCCGCTCCTGCTCCTTCCTACAACGTCCGTGTCATCCCTGCTATACCACAGGGGTTATGGGGGAACCTGTGATACCCAGCACCAAGGTCCATGGGAAACTTCCAAAGTGTGAAGAGCGAAGGGCAGAGCACCGGTGAGGCCACCTACCTGAGGACCTCAAGGTGTTACTGAGTTCTTGGGGGATGTTCTTTCAAGAGGACCCCCACAAGTCCCTGCAGGGACCTAACCCCTGCTTTGCAAGGTACTGCAGAGAAAGAGAAAACTTGAAGCCACAGCTTGCTAAGTAGAGGCACTAAAGAGAGGGGGTGGTCAGGCATTCTAGACCCCTCTCTATTGGTGCGTGGCAGCTTCCTTCCTGGCTGCCCTGTGAGATCAGGGAGAGGCAGTGGGGACTCTGGAGGTCGAGGGTAGCCCCAGGCAGTGCTCTGCTATAGTGGAGAGCAGGGCTGGAGCCCCACTCTGCCGGACTGAGGTCCAAAAAGGGTGAGGATGAGGTCCAAAAAGGGTGAGGAGGGGGCTCCCCACTGTGTGGCCTGTGACGGGGCTGAGGGGAGAAGGACGCCGCTGTGCGCAGCTTTCCTCAGAGCCCGGGGCCTGGCCGTCGGGGGGGCTGGTGGTGGGCGCGGGCCGGCGCCGCCCCTGCGCGGAGGCCCGTGCGCCGCGCGCGGGGTGGGGCGAGGCGGGCCGAGGGGCCGGGTGGCTCCCGCCCTCGCGCGCGGTGGTGGCGGCAGCGGCGGCGCCCGGGAGCTGCCCTGAGGCCGCCCCCGGCCCCCGCCCGCGCGTCAGCGCGCCCAGTCCGGGGCTCCGAGCTCCGCCCGCTCCCGAGGCCCCTGCGCACAGCTCCGGGCGGGCGGGCGGGCAGCCGGCGGGTCGCGGCGGCGCGGGGGCGGCGGGCGGTAGGCGACCGCAGAGCGGCGCTGCCCGGGCTGGGCGCGCACGGCGGGCGCTCAGCTAGCCGCCCCGATGTGGCAGGAGGCGATGCGGCGGCGCCGCTACCTGCGGGACCGCGCCGAGGCGGCGGCGGCGGCAGCGGCGGGCGGCGGCGAGGGGCTGCAGCGGTCCCGGGACTGGCTCTATGAGTCCTACTACTGCATGAGCCAGCAGCACCCGCTCATCGTCTTCCTGCTGCTCATCGTCATGGGCGCCTGCCTCGCCCTGCTAGCCGTCTTCTTCGCGCTCGGGCTGGTGAGTGGCCTCCCTGTGGCTCCGCGGGGACCTCGTTGGTGACCGTGTCCCGCCCCGGGCTGCAGTTCAGCGGCGTCGTGCCGGAGGCCGGCGTGGCTCGGGCGAGGGCTGTGGGCAGAGGAAAAGTTTCCTTGGAAGGCTTTGCCCAAAATAAAGTTGCCAGGGCGTACTCCAGGTGAATGGGGCAGGGCGCGTGGGTTCAGCATCTCCGTGCCCGGTGGCCAACTCTGCGCGTTCTCCGGGCGCCGCTGCCCGCAGCAGAGGCGATCCTCAGCCTTTCTTGGCGCGCCTGCTGCCTCCCATCCCGGTCCGTGGAACGGCCCCTGCTCTCTTTGAGTTGGGTCTGGGCATTATTTAACTCTTAAAATAAGCTGCCTTAGGAAAGCGGTTCACGGCAGCGAAAATGAAAAGCAGATAATGTCCTTTTTTGCTTTTGAGTCTGCCCGTGCTTAGCCCTGCAGAGAGAAAGTGATGGAGTGTTGAACAGATGCCCATGGTTCATTACCAGAGACTACAAGTGAGCTAAAATTTGGAGGGTCCCTACCTCCTTTTTCCTTTCCAGAGAAAGGCACAACTGGCTCATGCTTCCCTGAAGATGGTTAAAGCGTCTTTTCATCACGGGGGGGGGGGGGGGACTGATGTCAATTTTTTTTTCCTGGTTCATAATTTTCAGTCAGGAATCTTGGGCTGACTCTTTTGAGCCCTGAGAAGAAATCTGTCAATGGAGGTAACTTCCTCTTACCGCTTCTCTTCAGTGTGGTTCAAACTTCCCCCCCTGCCCATGATTTGTGCCTGCAGATTGTGTAGGAGGCCTGGATAGCCCCGCGAGTTGTGTGGTCAGTGGTTGATCAGGGGCCGTCTCCACTGAACGCTATTTCCCGAGCTCGGGGTGCAAGTCCGTGCCTGTGTTCATCCGTCTCCCTGAGCAAGACTAGCAGATTCAGCTCATGCTGCCTCAAGGGCACAGAAACTCTGTTAGGTCTTTGGCAATTTGTTTTAGACAACCTGAGCCATATGGTGTTCACATTATGAGTCGAGAGAAAAGTTTCCATCGTGGCTCAATCTTTTCAGTGCCCCCCACCCACCTGTGTGGGTCCTGTTTTCTGATTAAGTTCAGTGAGGTAAAGAGAGAAAATCCAACGTGGCAGGCCATGACGTCACTGGTCCTCTCCTGCAGCAGGCAAGGCAGGGAGCCCCTTTGATCCTGGCAGCCTAGGTGTGGGGGGAGGCAGCCCCCAGCCCTGCCAGGTAACTGGAATTTGTTTCTTGTCGCTACTTACAAGACCAAAAAGAATTTAAGAGAGATTTGGGAGTGGGGCGGGCGGGCTCGCTGGCCCAGAGTCTCGAAAGACCTCCCTCATTCTCAGGCTGCTGCTGGCTGCAGGAAAATGCCACAGTTGTCCTTCGGAAACCTGTGTGGAAACCTGCGTGTTCTTCCTCCGTGTTTCTGTTTGTGGGTCTCCTGAACCTGTAATTCAAATCCTCCTGGCTGGTTCCTTCCTAAGTGGGGAGGAGCAGGTGATGGCCTATTTATAGTGCCGTTAGTCTAGGGAAACATGTGTGAAGTTCTTGTTCCCCAGGCACACGACTTTGTTTTCCATGCTAGAATGGTCCAACTTAACCCTCCTTGAATTAGGTGTGAGAAATTCACGGGGGAAAGACTCGAGGCTTGCTTCTCTTAGTGGCCTTTGGAGAGTTCCTTTTATGCTCTATTTTGCTTCATTTAAATGTTGGAATGCTGTCTTTTTAAAAAGTCTTTGAAACTTCCCTAGACATATATGATGTATTTAATCATACTGACCCCCTTACACTCCCACCTCTTCTGGGTTTATCTCCCTCCCTCCTTCAAATCTTTTTAAGAAATAACCCTGAGTTCTTAATGCTGCCCATATGTGCATGTCTGTGGGGTTACCCACCAGTGCAGGGAAGCCTGACAGTGGCCACCCCTCAAAGAAAAGCAACTCTGCTTCTTGTAGTAGCCATCAGCTGCCAGTAGCCCCTCAGCTAGAGGCAGAATCTCATGCTGTCTTAAAGGGCATTGTTACTTTTCCTTAATATGCCAATGGTGTCCACGCTTGTCTTCATTCATTTATAACATTTTAACCAGAGTGGATGTTTTCCAGATCTTGGTTGTGACCCAGGCCAAGGTCCACATATGACATGAAATGGATTCTGTTTCCCAGTGTCCCCGGCTGGCTTCAGGCCTACTATGTAATTTTTAGTGTAAACTGCAGGCATGTTCCAGGGAGAATGCCTGGATCTGGTCCCAAGTTTACCTTCAGGTGGGGACTCTGTCTCTGGGATTCACTGAAAGGAGAAATGCCCAAGAGATGTGGGCACTGTCCTTCAAAACCACATCAGAGGAAGACAGACTCTGAGAAACCCAAATTCACAAAGACTTATTTCTACTTTGCTTTTAGAGAAATCGTAGCCAGCATCTCCACTTTCAAAAAGGAAATTACCCATCCAGATACTCAAAGGCAGTTAAGGTAGGAACGGCGCAGATACAATAGGGTTGGGTTGGAGCCACTTTTCCCGAGGTAGAGATGAGTTCTTGTCTGAGACTGAGCAGACCATGACCTCTGGGAGGTCCACCTCGGGGATGGGACTGCCATTGCAGCTTTGGGTCTGCCGTCTCTCTGCCTTGGCACACTCTTTGGAATAGCTGAAACAGTGAAACAGATCTAGATTTAGCTGCCTGAAATTTTGGATACTTTCCTTCATTTCCATACATCTGCCTGGTTTTGATTTCCGTTAGTCCTTCATGAGTTCTTACAGTAACAAATGGGTGGGTGGGAGCGTTCTTAAACACAGCTCCTGTCTCCTAGTCTATGTGGGTCACCCAGTCATACCAGGAGAACCGAAGTGCATAGACAGCTTTTTGCTATTTGCCATTGCCTTAATGTACATTGGTTTTGAATTTCCATTCAGAAGGATAAAGAGGGACTGGGGATGTACTCAGTGGGTAGCGCCACATAGAATCATCGTGGTGTTACCTTTCTGGAATCCAGCACAGTAGACAGAAGGAAGAGTATCAGGAAATGCAAGGTCATTCTCACTCCTTTGTGAGGTCCAGTCTAGTCTGGGCTACAAGAAACCTTGTATCGAGGTATGAATGGAAATAAATAAGAAGGGGAAAATGGCAACCCGTGCCTTGGTTCAGTTTTATCCTAATTGATACTGTTAACATTTTATGTCACTTAATTTTCATCTAAGCTCTGTCTATGTTTCTGCCACACTGACCACAGTGTTAAACAGACCTTTGCTGTATTTTTCATTAGCTTGGAAAAACAAATGCTAGCTTGAAACTTAACAGCCTTATATAATTGATTGTTTTCTATCTAAAAGGCTAAAACAAGACTGATGTCACACTTGCTAGTAACTATCCCGAGATGGGATAGTTTGTATTTCCACTTTCTATTGATACGGTAAACACTTTTTCTTTGCTCGCTATGGAAAGTTTCAATAAAAAGCTGATTTATGATTTTTTTTTTCTGCATTGGTTTGCTGAGTGCCTATCAAGTACCTCATGGATGGTTGTCAGGGCGACCCTGAAACAGAAAGCTTAGAACTAATGAGAGCAAACTAAGTTGTAAAGATTATCATGTCACTTTGAGCTTTAGAGTTGGCTCTCATTACTGAATGTATGAAAACCTCCTTTCAGAACAAAATCTTCTCATTTATTATGTCTGAGATCTGCCAGCTTTCCTCAAAAAATTTCCTTCATTGTTAGAAAAGATTGACATAGCTTTTGCTTGTCAAAGTACCAGGTGCCTCTGACCATGTTTGTTTTGATTAAAATTTATGATTAGGAGTAGTCAATATTTGAATGGAAAAGTTATAGTCCCATAAATTGAAAGCAGTCAGATGTTTTAATAAAGTAGGTTGTGTAGCATGTCCTGAAGTAAGAACATGTACATTTATTAACTATACATATGTAGCATGTGCAGCTGAGCATATGGCCCACTGACCTTATTGCGCTGTGGTGAGCTAGCTTTGAGAAGCAGTAAACCCTAGGTTTTCCCCACTTCAGGAAAATTTATCAGACAGAGTCTTTCATCTGCCTACAGCAAAGCATGTCCGTCTTTCAGAACGAACAGGCACAAGCATCTGTGTGGGGAACACATCTTGATGGGTCCATTCTTTCAGCACCTGCCGCAGGTGGAAGGCTCACTCACTAATGAGAAGGGCTGGAGTCTGGGAGGACAGACAGAAATGCCCCACCTCTCTAAAGAACAGGAGTTTCAGTGTGTGCTTTTTGTAGTTC